CTCAAGGGCCAAGCAGATTCATCATGTTCTGATTTTTTTTTTTCAGCCAAGCAGATCAAAAATACAACACAGAACACAAATTACAGAGGTCCCTTTACAATTACATCAGACTTCAGGGGTTCTCTTGCAATATCCCAAAAAAAAAAGACCAAACCTTGGCACTGACAAAGTATGTTCTCATCTCATCCAAGCAGATAAAGAGTATAAAACAGAACAGAAGTTTCATAGGCCCCTTTAAAATTATACAAAATTTCAGGGGTTCTCTCGCAAAATCCCAGAAAAAAAAAAGACCAGACCTTGGGCGGTTACAAGCCGGTAGGCATGGCCAGGAACAAGAGTATCGGTCGGCCGGAGAAGCTTTATCCGAGTGACCCGAAGGGGGCCGCTTCTGCTCTCTCCGGCGCCGGCGGCGGAGGACGAGTAGAGGGTTGTGGTGGTGAGGAGGAGGGCGACGTGGTGGCCGGGGTTCGCTTTCATGACGTCAGCGGCGGCGACTGGGGCGTAGAGCCGCTCGATTTTGGCGGCGTTTGGGTGCTGGATTAGTATGCTTGCGTTGTCTATGGCTTGGCAATTTCCCATTTTCTTTTTGTTTTTTTGGGTCTAATTTTCTGTTTATTTTATAGAATTTTTTTGGTTTGGTAATTTTTAGTGGAGAAGACAGAGCAGAAAAGTGGGCAAAAAAGAAAATGAAGAGGCAAATGAAGTCACTGTTGTTTTTTAGTGTCTGTATAAAAAGTAAAAACAAGCACAAGCACCCACTATTTGGGCTGAGGCGTAATTACCGAAGAAAAATAATAAGTACTACTTACTATATATTTTATAATAAAATTATTATGAATATCTATATATATATATATAATTACTAGCTAATAGCATTTAAAAAAACCTATTTAATAAAATCTCTAAAATTTTCCTCCATTTTCGGTACAACATTTATCATTAATGTTTTTTTTACTTCTCATGTGTTTCATCTCCATAGGACGGTGATTCGCCCGACAATGTTATACGGTGCTGAATGTTGGCCTACAAAAAGGCAACATGTCTAACAACTAAGTGTAGTAGAGATGCGTATGTTGCGTTGGTTCTGCGGGCACACAAGAAGGGATAGAATCCGGAATGAGGATATTCGAGATAGGGTCGGGGTGGCTCCAATTGAGGAGAAATTGGTCCAACATCGACTGAGGTGGTTCGGATCGGACATGTCCAACGGAGGCCTCCTGATGCACCGGTGCGTAGGGGAGTTCTTCAGCGGGTCGAGGATGTAAAGAGAGGTAGAGGTCGGCCTAAACTCACTTGGGAAGAGTCGGTTAAGAGAGACCTTAAAGATTGGAATATCTCCAAGGATTTAGCGGTGGATAGGAGCGCTTGGAGGCTAGCAATCCACGTGCCAGAACCGTGACTTTTGCTCTTTTCTCTTTTTGTTCCAACCTCTTCCTTTTGTTTCGAGCCCTTTTTGTGTTTCTCTTCCAATTGTTTCTCTGGGTTTCATCTCTAGCCTACCCCGACTTGCTTGGGACTAAAGGCTATGTTGTTGTTGTTTGTTGTTTTTTTACTTCTCACATTAATACATCCTATTGAGTGTAATCATGTATTTTTCTATTATATTATATAATAATTAATGCTAATACCAACTAATAATAATTCATAATAAATATAAATTGCATAATTATAAACAATTATTTCAAGTTATTTATTTTAACATCAATATTATTTTTTCCTTTTGTATCTCATGAAAAAATTTCTTTAAAAACATTTAGTAAATTGTTTTAATAGCATAGTCAAATAACTTTAGAATCTTATAAACAATTGTTTTTGTAATAATAATAATAATAATAACAATAATAATAATAATAATAATAATAATAATAATAATCAAACTGCTATCATCTAATGATAATAAACAATTGTTCATAATAATAAACAATCATTAATTTATTTTTCCTAATGATTAAATTTTAAAAATATTATATGTTCATTATCTAAATTTTTAATATTAAATTCTCAAATATTACTTATAATATTTTATGTACATTTGTGCATGTGCATAAGATATTTACTAGTTGAGGTAGCAATATAAAGTAGGTCGTTGAACCGGTACTATATCGGGTCAAGGGGTTCGAGCTCGTGACTCGAAAAGAACTCTGGCTGTTATATGATTGTTATATACTTATATTAGTCTAATCATTCGTTAGATCGACTTTTATTTTTAATGAAAATATATATTATTTATATTATGAAATGATATATTTAATTCTGCACTATTTTTGAAATAAAAATATATATGTTTTTTGAAAATATTTACGTTTATACAACAGGCACGTCTAATATCAATTCTAGCCTTGTAGGAAATGTGTCTTTGGTTGAGAAACATGCACTTGCAAGTTAATGAAACTATGCTTTAAGTTTTGAACTTTTGAGGCATAGAAGGTCTTTTCGTAGCATACTAATCATTTAGACAGATAAATAATTATTGTGTATTACTTTTCTTAAATAAACAAATAAATATTATATTATTAAAAATAATAAAACATGCATTTTTACTTATAAAAAAAATTGACTTACCCAAATTACCGAAAACATAAATAAAGACCATGAGGATGCTAATAAGTTAGCATAAGAAGAATCTTAATTATATGATTGCTCCCTTGAGAGTTTTATTACGATTATCGCTAATCTTTTTTCAAAGTATTGCCGATAAAATAAATTATAAATTCACGTTTGTAAGTCAACTAAAACAAAATCAAAATTTGGACATTTTTTTTTGGGTTTGGTAAGATATCAATTTGACTTGAGGCTTTCATCAAATAAGACTTTCATTAGCAAAGAAAAATGTCAAAAAGTATTGCATAATCATTAACAGAAAAATAAAAATTCAAAAAGTAACTTGTGTGTGATTCGACTCTATGGTCTTATTTAATTATTAGCTAATAATGAATAGCGGTTTAAGCGAATAACTGATAGTAAATTATAATAGTTGATTTTATTAATTTTCATTGTAGTAATAAGTAAATAATTGATAATAAATTGTAACAGTTGGTTTAATATTACTACAATTTCAGTTTAGCTTTTGAATATTTGCAATTAAATGCTCTAACTAATTCAAACAATATTTATCTTTTTGTTATATATTATTTCGAAAACAGCACTAGTCATTTTCTAAAGTTATAACAAGACCGGAATTATGTATGTAATTGCAAATGTAGGAAATATTGACTATTATATTAAACGTATTTTAAAATTGAGTTTGAATTATTCCAACACGAAAGGAGTCTATTTTATCATTGAAAATTACAAAGGTCTTAAAATAATGTTGACATTATATTCTTTTGATTCGACAAGCGTGTGATTTTTTCAATTGCACGTTACATAATATAACTTTATAAAAATCAGATACTAATAAAAAAAGTGTTAATTAATTTCAGGATGACATAATGACCACGTCCACATAATTATTTTATTTTATGATCTTATGCACACAAAAAGTAATTAGTTCTGATGCCCATTTAAAAAATATATTCTAGTGCTAAGCAATCTGTTCGAGTTTGTCTTCTCCTTCTTATTATTATTATTATTTAAACGATATATGCTCTCTTAATTCAAGAATAACTTTAGAAAATAATCTTTTAATTTTAGCTTTAACAATTGATATAACATCTAAAATACTTCGGTTTGATGTGCCCATTGGGCTCATTGATGGTAAATAAATAAAGAATCATGCTACACTGAACCGAAAATAAATGTATCAAGCATTCATTACTTTTCTCATTATATTATCAACAACGATTTAGATATTGCTTAACATATAACTCGATAAAATAATTGGTAAATCAACCAAACAACATAGATTAATTCATAATTAAACTAGAATGAATTGGTTAAAATTCTTAGAATATATTTTTAGAGGAATATATTTTTATAGTTTTTGTTGCAATTCATTAATTGGTCCCAAGTGACTAAGTTATGTATCAGTTCAACCACACTAAATCGATTATTGAACCTAAATATAAATTTTATATTGAAAATATTTTATTACGTGAATGTGATGTAGTCCAAACTTCAAATAATCGTATTAACAATACTTTTATGACAACATGTTTAATGATTTATGGATATTTTTATATCATTTTATTAATATTTATGTGGATTAAATAATATTTTATTATAATATTTATTAGTGTACAGTAAATATAAGGTTTGTAGAACTGGACTGTCATCGAAACGATCAAGTTATTTTATTAAATCATTTGTGGTTTGTTTAGGTTTTAATTTATAAATATTTTAATATATATATATAGTACTTTTTTGTAATAAATTTAAATAAAATGTGTTACTTAGATATCTAAACGATTTATAAATTCAAATGTTTAAACTAATTGATAAATAATTTATAAATATCTATTTTATTTAAATATGAAATTTTATATAAAATAAATTTAAATATAACAAAATTTATTTAGAAAATTGTATCGATCCTACCAGTCCAACCGATTGGTGTTGACGGATTCGAGAGCAAATATTTTATATAAGCGAAGTAGACTGATTATAAACCGGTTCTCGGTTCATCCGGTCAGACTGTGTCCAACGCAGTTTAATTTAAAAACAATGAATAAATAATGATTGATGTTATTTATATATTTAATTTATAATACAATCGTAATATTGATTTTCCGTGCATCGCACGGGCCACGCACTAGTTGGTAAATCAACCAAACAACATAGATTAATTCATAATTAAACTAGAATGAATTGGTTAAAATTCTTAGAATATATTTTTAGAGGAAGATATTTTTATAGTTTTCGTTGCAATCATTAATTAATCTCTTATAAATAGATAAATAAATTAGGAATTTGAAGACTATCTCACGCAATATTTCTCCATAACAAAATGTCATTAGCAATTAGCTATCTCACTTGCGCATCGAAGTTTTGTCTAACACTATTTTGCATTTTTATCGAATTTGTGAGTTGAAACGTTCGAGATAATTCGACCAGAAATATTGATTGACAGTTATTTTAGGGATATAATTTTTACATTTTTTTTGGTTCGAATATACACTTGTGAGTTGTCCCACATCGTCTATATAGGGAAAATAAGTCTAACTTATAAGCCTAGTGGACTACTCCTCTTACAACCAATTGATTTTGGGATAGAACCTCACTTGGGCTTCATTTGGACTTCCCTGCTTTGGTGCGCTTCACGTCTGTGGGACCGCACCCGTCAACATCCGTTTGTCATGGTACCCGTCACCTAGTCAGTTGGACTTAGGTTTTCGAAGGACTCACAAGTGAGTGGGCGTGTTAGAATATCACTTGTGAGTTGCCCCACATCATCCATACATAAAAAATAGACCCACCTTATAAGTCTAATGGGTTACTCCTCCTTCCACCAATTGGTTTTGGCATAAAACCTTATTTGGGCTTCATATGGGCTTTTATCGTTCATGGCGCGCTTTATGATAGTGAGCCCACACCCGTTTTCCCATTTTCTGTCATTTTCACTGTCCATCAATTATAAGAGTAATTTTACAATTGTTCTGACCACTCACAAAGTGTATATTATTTTCGTGAAATCATGCATTCTTACTTTGAACTTAACATTATCAAATGGGTTTGGTAATAAGTTGAGAGTGATTGAGCACTCACTGGTAACTGGGACACACGTCTCAAAATTACCTAAAACTAGTAAAAATTATTAGACTTTTTCCAGATAATTTTACTCTCCATTCATTTTCTATCTAATATGGTCTCTTTGGTCATAATTGTTGCAAAGAATTTGATAAGAATGACAAGAATTTAAAAAAGCACAATTTGGGCTTTATACAAAGGAGTTGAGATAAAATTAATCAAACTTCAATTTATAAATGCATAGAAAATGATGACAAAATAGTAAATGTTTTGTTATAAAAGAATGACTACTTATATTATAAAATATAATACTTTTATTTATATTATATCTAAAGATGATATATACTTCAGTGACAAAGTATGTAAATATGTCGAAAATGTATATATGCATGTCTAAGCATTAGTTAATCTAACAAAAAAACAATTGTGATAAAATATTATCTTAATTAATTTATAATATTTTATTCATTGTCTAACCATTAATCAACGTAACAAAAAAAAAAACGATAAAATATTATATTCATTAATTTTGAGGATTATTTTTGTCAGTTAGTGCAGTGCTTAATTATGACTCTTCATAACTAATTTAATAATATCCTTTTATATTAACAAACAGAGAAATAATTATCTGGTCTGATAGTAGGCTTAAAAAAATTGACTAAATATGTGCGAACCAAAAACTGATGTGAAGTTGTGAACCATGAAGTCTCAACTCCTATATATGAACTCTAAAGTATTGTCCTTGTCTTCATTCATATAATTTAATTAATTTCTTTGTTTGTGTGAAGAAGGCATCTAAATAATTGAGTTATTAATTAATTATTCCACTGTTCACTAGTAATATATATGCATGAATTGAATGAAATAAAGAGACTGATATCTTAAATTTACGAGGTCTCTTATTTTGAAGCTCAAATGTACTAATCAAATTAGAGAATCATTCATAACATGCCTTTCACACCAGCTGTTCATAGTAATCTAGTGCTGTGGTATTTTTGTAACTAAACCAATGTTAAAAGATTTATCTTTTTATATTCAATAAAAATAAAAAGTGTTCTTTTTTTTTTTAATGGGAATTTGATTGTCTCATTAAGAATCTTAAATCCAAGAGCATGCATCCATAAACCAGTCATTGATACAAATGAACTCAATGAATGATGGTGGTTTTCAAAAACAGTATTCAAGAAATGTTATTCCAAAAGAGTTCATTATATATAGAAATTTGAGGAATAAATTAAATGTTAGTCCTATGCAAATTGTTTCTGCTTAGTTTACTTAAATATAGCTTTACGAAACTTTTGTCCTATCTAACTATATTCAATTAGATAAATAAATTTAATCAACATAAACTTGACCATGTATGGTACGCATTATTGCATTTTTGTTGCTTTGTGAGAATATATCAATTAGATTGAAAAAAGGTTGTGAAAAGCTGTTAATATGGTACAAAATTAATTAGTCAATAAACTTTTACTATTAGTTTATTACTATTTCTATTATAGCCAAAAAAAATAAATATCCACCTGCTAAAGTCATAATATGTATTCCTTTATTTCTTCTTTTATGGAAATTGCTACGAAATCAATTTTTCTACAATATATATAAAATTGTTCTCATAAACACTTTTTTCCTAAAATTCAAGTTCAACCCTGATTCCTTCTCATAAAACAAATTTTCTTTATTTTATATTTTTCAGATAATATATAAAATAAAGAAGAGAAACAAAAAGTAATCAAAAGGTATTAAGGATCCCCAATATTTGTCAACAGAAATATAATATAAACCACATACATTAAGTTGACATTATTGGTGGTTTGGTACGTGGAAACCAGACAATGAAGTACAGATAAAACATTTTTTACTTTCAATCTAATCAAACCCAAACAACGAAGTCAAAATTCTTGCTTAAAGCACTCTGTAAGGTGATTTCTGTCTTCAATATCAGACGAATTTATGACAATTCATATTTGTCCTTTTTTCTATTTTTATTATTTTCTCATTTTCATTTTTCTCTGTCATTGCTAATTTTTACAATCATTGGTTGATATGAATTGATGTAATATTGATTGTTGAAAATGGATTTTTAACTGTTAGAGGTTGCAGTTTTCTTATTAAAATGGTCAAGGAGAGTAGTGATAGAATATTTTTTTTAGCATAATAAATAAATACTAACATTTCTAAAGCTTTTGGAAATTTCACACTCCGGTTGGATAGTGTGTATATATTTACGACAATGCACAAAAATGAACTTTTTCACAGTTGAATCACTGCACACTTATATATAAATGTGTGTAATTCAACAGTAAAAAAATCCGGTAAACTTAATACCCACACGAATAGGACCGTATTCTCTCTTATGTGGCATAAAAAATGGCACGTTCGATCATGTCTTGACTTGGGTTTAACGGTATTAAATGATCAAAATAGCCTAAGGTTTGACTAAAACTTCTAGAATATTCTAGCCTAAGGTTTGACTAAAATTTATAGAATATTCCTATTTATATGAATGATATCTGATCTTATTTTAATCTATCTATTCCTAATTTCAAGAGAAGTACATTATATGAAAATTGTATCTTGAAGAGTAAGTTATTAATCCCTTATACATACAATTGAATCGGATTCACTTTCTGACATAATCTAGAAATATTACGAAGTATTATTATCGATTTGGTGACTGACTTGAGCATTATTTTGCAAGTTAATCAGATTCTTAAATCTTAATTAGAGACGTTCGAGAGGCAAACCTAAGTATTTTGATCCCCATAGAAAGTAAATATCATAGTAAAATGGAATTTGAAAATTAAAAACGGAGGATTTAGTACAGCATAATCAAACAGACTATTGCATGTTGATTGGTCAATTATATATCAGCTTTTGTAGAGGGCCATTTTGGATGGTATACTGTGCATGGCTCAAGACTTGAAAATCTTTGAAATCTCT